TAACTCGAGGATTAAAAGAGTGATAACATTTTCTTTTGAGATTCCAGGCGTCATTATTATCACACGTAGCCTCTTCTAGTTCATAATAGTTCCTGTTTCAATCATGATAATCATTCAAGTTTGCATCAAAATATTCCCCTCGAAGCAAATGACTTTAGAATGATCCAACTGCAAAATTCCATCTTGATAGCATACTTTAATCCAGCAAGTCACTTTAGATAGATGCATAAAATAACAATTTTGGCCCTTTAACATAAAAAATTCATTAAAAAAACTTTGGCCTGGCACATGGTTCTTTGTCAACGCACCTGAAGTCGTGGAGAGGTTTAAAGCGAAAGGAGAAAGGTTAAAATAGCAGTAATGATAATATGCAATTAGCTATAGATCTATCAGGTCTCTATCTAAAGATTTTTACGAGGGAAGGTGTCGAGTTAAGCTCCAAAATATCCTACACTGCAAAGAAATTCTTATATTACTTCATACTTGAGTTTCTAATTATTATTTTTCCCTTTTAATTGCCTCTGTTAACGTAGATTTTTGTTCTATTCTGCGGAAAAACAAACGGTAACTTAAAGTATTATTGTTGTAATAAGAAGGTGTTTCTAACAACTTACATTTCTGTTTTCAGGTATTTTTAAAAATTATTTTTTATTTGAAAAAACATTAAATGAATTTTTTTAATATTTTAAGATGATTTTAATGCATTGATGTTAAAAATAAGATAAAAAATCTTAAAAAAATATTTTAATATATTTTTAAGTTTGTTTTTTTTTTAAAAAAAAAAATTCCACTGTGAGCTTAAACACCCCCAGGATCCGAAGCCATTTTTTGTGAAGAAAACTCTGCTCGCAACGATACAAAGTAGAGGTCCAATTGGAGTATATGATGTCTATCAGAGAAGAGAATATTTCCATGTGTAGAATGCTAAAAAAAGACTCAACGAAAATGGTCATATCGTTACCATCCACATCCACATCCATGTCAATTCAACGCAGGAACATCCTTCTTACAGGTAAATAATTAGGAAGAGAGCTGGTAATAACAGAAGGCCTGCGTGATAAAATATTGTTTTCCATATTCCAGCTTACTGAATATTATATTTTGTCCTGTTTACATGCATATGGACAAATGCATCTCAAATCCATGGGCTCATGGATGAAAAGCCGAATTATGGAGTTTTAATACCGGATATAAATAAGAGCAGTTGTCTGTTGTTGTCTTTTTTTTTTTAAAAAAAAAAAAAACATTTCATGGGGTGAGAGAGGCTCGAACTCTCGACCTCAGGATAACTCTTTTAGCTATGAGACCTACGCGCTAGCCAACTGCGCCACCACCCCATCTTGTGACGTTTGTCCCTTTCAAGTTAATGTAAATTATTTTTCTCTCAGCCTATTAAATTCATTATATTCCAACAAAAAAATAAAAATAAGTACTGCTAGTTTATTACATTGGGTTGCTTCTTGTCTTCCCACCGCACAATGGACACTGCACAGGCCTGAATGGGAATTTCGGCTGGAGCAATGCCATGCCATTTTCTCAAAAAAAAAATTATGGTGATAGAAGAATAATTAATAATATTTTATTAGTTATTATTTGAATTTTCTTTGAAAAAAACACAAAAAAAAATATGATTTATAAAAAAAAAATATTTCTATTTAATATTTCTATAATTTCCTTGTATTTATTTTTTCATTCTAAGCGAGTCCATAAAATAATTATGTTATAAATTATTTACCAAACATCATAAAATTTGTTGATTTTGCCTATTAATTCTCACATAATTCTCACCCGCGTGAATTTAAATTCTTGAAAATTTATCTCTAGCATTACTTTGTATGTGACTGCACGGGTTCAAATAGATAAGGAAAAAAGAGATGTAAAAGAAGTTTCAATTAAGCTTGTGGGCTTAGTTTAATTTTTTTGGGTTTAGTTTGATCATAGTCAATACTTAGCCTAGCATGAGATTTGGTTTGATGAAATAAAACTTGACTCAGTTAAGCCCATTTTGAACTTAATTTAATCATAGTCAGATCTAGCTCAACACATAGTTTGATTTGATCCAATCAAACAAAACCCACTTGAACCTATGTTTGGCTCGGTCGGATTTTTTTATGTACTTAGTTTAATCAAATAACTCAATCTTCTCTTTCTCTTTTCGCTCTTATTTTTTCCTCTTTCTAGTTTATTATTATTTACATCAATTATCCGTACATCAAGGAGAATATGATATTGTATATACTAAACTTTCATTGGCGTTTCACTTGCATCACTTATATGTGTGTGTGTGTATTCTAATACACATTACAAAATTATAGCACTCTTTTTAACTTGAAATCTAAATTTTAGTCCCAACAATGAGCATTCATTTTCTTGTTTAATTTAAAAGTTTTAAATCTAGGCAACATGATGTAAAATCTTCGTTCAAACATGAGAGAATCTCAATCCAGTTTTTTAATGTCATGGTGAAATTGCAACTCTCTTCACAAAGTTTGAGCGTACGTGGGCTAGGCCTCTTCAATGTTGTGTTTGTCAGTTCATGCTTATGCAGCAATCTCCAATAACAATAGCTAACCGAAACTGGATGGGTCGTTTGAACTCAATTTAACTAAAGCTAAATAAATTTATCGGCAATAGGCCCAAGCGAAATTCAACCAGTAAGACGACAGGTCTCCTGAAGTGTCATGCCTAGACATTGATGTGTTTCATGTCTCATGGAGTGGCATGATTTATAATTTGGACAACAATTTTGCAAATCAAACGAGGTGAAGAGAATATATCTTCTGAGATTTCTTATAGAGATGAGGTGATATGCCCTTCCAATGTCAACATCTGCCCATGACACTCAAGGAACAGAGCAAACCACGCCAGTCCTGTTCTTGTCAGAACTAATTTGGCACCAGACTCCATTTCCCAGCATGTGATGAGATGTTTATAAGGTCAAAGAAACATGGCCCTGTGCTGATCATATGCCGATGAGCTGGTTTTCACTCCCTGGATATCTGTCAAGGATCGAGCTCAAATCTAATCATCCATGGACATTCACACTCTTCCCATTTAATTATTCTCTCTTCCACCAACAGTCAGAACAAGTACACCATGCTGCACGCGAGAATATGTTAGAGTGACTGGTGTCCAGATAAATTCTGGATACGTTGCCGTACTTGGATGGTATGTTTTGGGGACGTCAGCAAGATCTAGGATCCCGAACCAACCCTTTTGCCAGCTTCGATGCAGCGCTATCACATCTCCAATTGGGAAACCAGAAAAAAAAAAAAAGACATTTTGTTTTTTCAATGATTATTTTACACGTTACAGGAAGTATAAAGATAAACAAAATGTTAAAATATTATTTTTTTATTATAATAATATGTTTTAATTTATATATATATTTTAATTATTCACGTGTTATAACTCTAAAAAATTCATGTAATTAACTTGATAAAATCATCTGATTGCTTCATGTTGTGTTTTTTTTTTTTTTAATTTTATCTAGTTAATTAAACATTATTTAAATTATTTTTAAGTTTATCAGTTGATGGAGCTATTTTAAATTATCAAAATAATTATATATTAAATGTATTAAAATATAATTTGCTATTCTAAAAATCATATTGTCAATTTATTTCTTCTATAAATACCATTTCTCGTGCACAATGGAGAAGGAATCACAAATCATTCTGGATATTGGGATGTACAGACGAAGAAGAAGAAGAAGCATCCACACCGCTCGAGGTATTCTATGTTGTGTCAAGCACAGCTGTTTCAGGTACCCACTTTCCTCTCTGCCACAATGTGAAGCTTTTCAGAATCCACCCACACCCACAACGCTTTTATCCCTATCCTTTTAGCTTTTGGCAAACAGCCTTCCAACACGCCTCGTCTCGACAACAGTAAATTTTCATGACATTTGAATAGGATTGAAGGTGTCGGTTAGGTTATATTTTAAAGTGTTTTTTATATTAAAATATATTAAAATAATATTTTTTATTTTTTAAAATATTATTTTTAAGATTAGTATATTAAAATGATTTAATATATATGTATATAAATTAAATTATTTTTAATAAAAATAATTTACAAATTTTTTAAAACATAATTTACACTGGATTTTTCAAATAGCTTCTCCACTTATCAGCAATGAATTGGTCGTCCTGGCAAGTGCATGTGCAGGTGTTTACAGGTGAAAGGTGATGCAGATTTAGACCATGGATGCTAATAAAGGGATCATCTGTGGAATGCCTTGAGACTAGTATGCAGTGATGGTTTTGTTCAAAGTATTTTTATTTAAAAATATATTAAAATAATATTTTTTTCTATTGGTATATTAAAATGATTTTAAAATAAAAAATATTTTTTAAAAAAATAATATTATAAAAAACACTGTTGAACCCGCTTCCACATACCCTATTAAAAGATAAATAATCATCCATGCCATTTAAAATGAAGTTAAGATAATTCAAGGAGGCTGGTGTACTGAAAAAAATCTAGCTTTAGCACTTCTGACTGGGTTACAGTGGATTTTAATTGTTATTTTTTGTATTATATTAGTGTTTTTTTTAAAGTATAAAAATAATAATATTTTTATTTTTTAAAAAATATTTTTAATATTAGTATATGAAAACGATGTGAAAATAAAAAAATTAAATTCATTTTTAAAAATATTTTGGAAAAAAAACAAGACAAAACAGGGAATTCACCTGATACAAAATGTGGCTGATGCTCTCTCACTATGAAAATATGAGTTGATGTTTTATTTTTTCATTTCCCTTTACTGGCACTCTAATTTACCATGATCACTTCATAGCAAATTTAGACAGTAAATAAGTGTCACATTGATGTCATTGGTACAAACATTTCTTACAAGTTACAGCAAATATTACAGACAACAGGGAAGCAGCAAGATGTCCAATCAGCTCCCTACTAGCTAACCTCCTCGTTAGAGAGGCCAATTGACTCGAGTTTTAACCAGGCCCAGACGAAACAGAAAGGAAAAAGGACTCTCAATCTCTAATCAATGATTATTACAGTATTACCCTAGAATAAGAAGAAGAGAAAAGTATGCTGTCTATATCAACAAACGAGGACATTTCACCTATAATTAGGCTCAATCATTCCATCCCCTAACCTACACCTCTAAACAGGCATCCCCTTAAACCCTCCATTAAAAGACCAAAGCCAAATACAGCACAAAACTTTTATTTATCCTTCTCAACAACCTTAACCCACCCGCCTACCTCTATCTCTCCCCTCCTTCCCTCCTCTCGCTCTCTCTCTCTCCAACCCTCATCACCAGCTTTTGCAGCTCTTCCTTCTGTCCCAAAAACACACCTTCAATTTAAGCAAAGCCTGAGAAACCAAATTTTTTTTTTAAAACCCCCGAAACTAAACAAAAACAAGAAAACCCATTTTATTTGTTTCTATTTTTCTCAAATCTACCAGGACCCAGAAAGAATAGAGTAAATTTCAGATCTCCACCGCTCGATGTGGCGGCCGCGTGCTAAATCGACGGTTAAGATTCGCGACACCCCGTCTTCTCCTTTCTCTTTCTCCACTTTCAAAGATATCCAAAATCTTTGCATTGAGGATCATCCCTCCAGTCCCATAAAAAAATCCTCCTCCATTTTCCACCGGGTCCGGCTCGCTAACACCTTCCTCCGCTCCCTCTCATTGTCCTTATCCGAACCAGAACACAATGCCACTCTAGCTCATAACAAAACGACAACACCACCGCTCCAAGAACAACCTCTTATCACAATCCCGGGTGCCGACAAACGAATTGTCGTCTACTACACAAGCCTGCGTGTGGTTCGTTCAACATTTGAAGACTGCAAGACCGTGCAATCTATCCTACGTGGATTCCGCGTTTTAATCGATGAACGAGATCTCTCAATGGACTCGAGTTTTTTAAACGAGTTAAATCAGTTCTTTTCCGGCGGTGGTAATTGTGGTCGGAAGCTGACATTGCCACGTGTCTTTATCGGAGGGAGATACATGGGTGGGGCCGAAGAAATCAGACAGTTAAACGAATCAGGTGAGCTCAAGAAATTTATAGAAGGATTGCCTGTTGTGGATTCTGGTGTTTGTGACGTGTGTGGTGGTTATAGGTTTATTTTATGCGGTCATTGTAGTGGGAGTCATAAGTTGTATATAGAGAAAGCTGGGTTTAACTCCTGTACGGCTTGTAATGAGAATGGTTTGATCAGGTGCCCTTCTTGTGCTGTCTAATTTTTATTTTTATTTTTTCAAATTAGAAGGTTTGTCGTTATTTTTCCTGGGCTAATCTTAGTTTATAGGGTTTCTTTTCTTTTTCTTTTTCGGTTTTTGGTATTATGAGATAAGTTTTTTTTTATCTTGTAATGTAATAACCTTAAAATCAAAGTTAGGAAGCTAAGGTTATATTATCGTTATAAATTAAGACCACTTCTTTCTTTCTTTGTTTTGAAATTATGATTAATGCGTAGGCAATTTTAGTTATAGGAAAGATATGCATGTCATTAACTATTTTGCAGTTTGGAGGTCCTTTTCACATTTTGGAGCCTTGGTGAGAGTTTACTGCTGGAAGTGCAGTGACTGCAATCATGTGTTAATGTCAAGGAGACTTGTTGATTTTAGGAAGGGGATATGATGACTGATGGGGGTGGTTATGTCTTGTCTGTTTCTTTTGGGTTTGAGCCATGTTTGATGCTGACTCTTTTTTCTCCTTTTCTTTTTCCTTGGAGATTAGGAATTTCACTTTCCTTTGGAATCTGATCAAGTGTCTCGTGTATTTGTCCTCGTTTTGGCTCACAGCAATGGGTCCTCTCCTTTTTGAAAATTATTGGGAGTTAGAAAAGTATTGCTGGATGAACAAAATTCATCTTTTAGTTGACTGTTCAGTGAATATTTATACAGATAACGTTTTGAGTTTGAAAAAGAAATAGAGACTATCTTATCTCCTAAATAACTAACACTCCCCTCCTCTCTAGCTTAGGGTGTCTTCTTGTCACTCGGAGCTTGCTTCTTACATCAAGAAATCTGGTTAGGTGCTTTGTAAAGATACCTGTCAACTGATCTTTGCTGGACAGAAACTAAACTTTTAGCTTTCTTTGGGCAACCTATTCTCTTATCGAATGGAAATCGATTTCGATATGATTTGTTGTAGCTTTTGAATATGTGTTCAATAAGCTGTTAGAGATGTATAGAATCCTGTTGATCAGTGCCAGGGATCCTCCACACCTCTAACAGGAATGATATTATTGCAATGTGAAATAATTTGGTGTGATATTTGATCGTTTTGATTTGGGATGCCTGCATTATTATTGGATAATGTGGCTCAGCATTTTCATTTGATCGTTTTGATTTGGGATGCCTGCATTATTATTGGATAATGTGGCTCAGCATTTTCATATGTTGCTTCATTTTATGTTTGGATTTTAAGATCAGGGTAATCGGGGAGGTGGCTTTTTCACTGAGAGTATCTTCCTGCAGCCATTCACACCCAAATTTGTGTGTTTATGGAAATTTCTTTTTCACAGCCTTTCAAAATTCAGATGCAAACTCTGAATAGGAGTATATGGTGAAGAACAAACTCACTTGTAACTCAAGATTTCAAGACACACGCTTCATTTTATACCAGCACGTCAAATTAACTCGAAACATCTGGTATAGCCTTGGACAGAAGCAATAGAGGCTGTCAAAAACTACAATTCCTTGGCAATTTCTTGTTTCTCTAAACAAGTAATAAAGGAAATTACAGATTACAAGTAGCCAACTAGGCGGGAAACTGAACTAATTTCCTACAAGAGGAACTCTTACCAGTATTGTCTGCATCCACCAACCCATTTCATACCCATAAGATGTAGTTACGCAACTAAAACCGGCACTGGTATGAGAAATTAAGAATAATTCTTCTTCTTCAGCATGTCTAATTCTCCATCTCCACATGCGATGGAGACCTATCGCATTTAAGAACTTACATCTCATTAATTGTTCAATTTATCTAAAGCATGACTCTACCATTCTTGATTCTCCTTCCTTAAATTTAGTGGCGTGAGCCGGTCTAGAATGGTCATGGGTAGGAGAGGCGGTTTAGTTGAAGAGGTGAAAATTTGTCTGGAATGATTCTAGGTCTTGGAGAGACTATTAGCTTTTATTGATGGAGAAATCACAAGAAATTCATTAATAGAGCAACAAAGAATGTTTCTTTGTTTCGTTTTACTTGTTTTCTGATAAGGTTGCACGTCGAGGTCTTTTTTGAAGTTGCAGTACCACTACGTGTATAGTTGAGACGTGAGCCTAACTAGCATAAGAGTCTGGTCAAAAAACACCTAAACTGGGTTGAGCCGCATCAAGTTAAATAAGTTGACTGGCTTCATGATCGACGCTCCTAGGAGGCTTGGATTCTTCGGCACACCAACAACGCAAGTTCCCCGCCTCTGGTGGATGACTCTTCCATGTTTAAATTAGCCAAATATTTGTTAGCGTAGAAGTTGTAAAGAATGTCAAACTATGTAACTTTTATCAACGAGGGTATATTCCTTTTTCTTTTTTTCTACGATTCTCTCTCCATTCCCCTCAAACTTCGCATCCATTTGTGCCCCCCACCCACTTGTGTCATGCCGCCCCTTATTATGGAGGGAAGGGCTCAAGTGAAAAGGGTTCCTCCCTCTCTCAGGATCAAGTTCATCATCATTAATCCAGCTATTCCAGGTCTTTCTGTCAGTATATGCAGGCATATGACAGAAGTTGTTGACATTCATGCACTGGGGCAAAATCCCTTTCAAGTTAGATGGCTTGAGATGCCTGCGTAAGGAGGTCCCAAGCCTACAGGACAGGGCCTCTTGGCTCGTAATTTTGAATGGTCCGAGTTAGGATTTGAGACCCATAGTCCACATAATGTTGTGTGTGTGTAAATTGGGGGCCTGTAAGGTCCAGCCCCGTCAAGCAGTGCTAGTGATGTTTTTGCTGATTTTCTCGCGGGTTTTCCGAATTCGAGGAAGTTGTGCGTGCTCTGTTGATCTATCCAAGGTTCTGAGAATATTAGGACTCCTACTTCTGAGCCTAGCTGACTCCCAAGAAGCCAACAAACAAAGAAACAAAGTGCTGCTCGCATGATAAATCGGGCAGAGGCGAACTGTCTTCGCATGAATGAAACGACGATCGTCAGGAATTCCTGGAGAAGGGGTACGATATGCAGCGGCACCTCCACTGCCTCGCCACTGCAACTCATAAAACTCGGGCTATTTAAGTCATTTCAATTTACCTCTTTAAAAGTAAACTAAGAACAAGAACATCAGTCGGCAAACCCCCCCCCCCCCCCCATCCGTCTTGACACC